AGTAAGATTGCCATTTTTACTATATTAATTCTACCTACCCAAGAGCATGGGAGATCTTTCCATTTTCTGGTGTCTTCAATTTCTTTCTTCAAGGACTTAACATTCTTGTCATGCAGGTCTTTTACTTTTTTTTGTTAGAGTTACTCCAAGATATTTTATGTTATTTGTGGCTATTGTGAAGGGTGATATTTCTCTGATTTCTTTTGTAGCCAATTTGTCATCTGTATAAAGGGGGGCTACTGATTTTTTTTTAAGTTAGTCTTGTATCCTGTTGCATTACTGAAAGGGTTTATGAGTTGTAGAAGTTCCTTGGTAGAATTTTTGGGGTCACTTATGTAAACTATCATATCATCAGTAAATGGTGAGAGTTTGACTTCTTCTATTCTGCTTGAAATCCTCTTGTCTTATTGCTCTAGCTAGAACCTCAAGTACTATATTGAATAGATATGGCGAGAGTGGACAACCTTGTCTTGTTCCTGATTTCAGTGGGATCGCTTTGAGTTTCTTTCCATTTAGTTTGATGTTGATTTGGTCCTGTGGGTGTTCCTGTCTTGGGCCTGCTCCTGCAGAGGTTGCTGGCCTGTGCCTGGTCCCGCAGGGCTCACTGGCTTGGGCCTGCTCCCTTGTACCTGCCTCATTTGTTTTCTTGATGACATATTTTGAATAAAGTGCTCAGTATAGCTTTAATTTTGATTTTCATGATGGCTACAGATGCTTTGAAGTGTTTACTGACCATTTAGAGTTCTTGAGAAGAACTGAGTCAGTTCACTTGCCCATTTACTAATCAGATGATTTATACATGTATGTGCATGTGTGTGCATGTTCATGTGCATGCGTGCGTGCGTGTGTGCGTGTTTGTGTGTGTGTGTGTGTGTGTGTGTGTGTGTGATTTTGGTGTATATTAACCCCATATGAGAAGTGGAGCTGGTAATGCTATTCTTCCATTCTATAAGCGGTCACTGTGCTCTACTGATTGTCTCCTTTTCTGGAAGATTTTAATTTTATACAATACTGCTTTTTACTTTAGAAAATTGTTTCCCTGAGCTGAGCCCTTTTCCAGAAGTCTTGCTTATATCTTTTTATTGAAGTGTTTTATCAGTTTAGAGTTTGGGGTCATATGTTTAGGTCTTTGATCTATTTTAATTGATTTTTTCTACAGATCAAGAGATACATGGTTGCATTCTTTTAAATGTAATTGGCAATTTCCCAAGCACTATTTGCTGAACACTTTCTTTTCCTTGATGTATATTTTGGGCACCTTTGTCAAAAATTAGGTGACTGTAGCTGTGTGGTTGTATTTCAAGGTCCTCTATTCTACTTATTCTATTGGTCCATGTGTCTGTTTTTGCTACTATGGCTCAGTATTATAATGTGAGACCAAGTATCACAATATCTCCAGTGATGTGGGGTTCCCCTCTGTATCCTGTGATTATGTTTTATTTCCATTAGTTAATAAAGAAGCTCCTTTGGTCATTGGCTTAGCAGAATAAAAGCAGATGGGAAATCTGATCAGAGATATATAGAAAGAGTAGGCAGAATCAAGGAGATGCCATGTAGCTGCTGAAGGATAAAGATGCCATAACGCTAGAACCTTACTTGTAGGCCATAGCCTTGTGGTGAATCACAGACTAATAAAAATGGGTTAAATTGAGATATAAAAGTTAGCCAGGAATGTACCTAAGCTATTGGCCAAGCAGTATTGTAATTAATATAGTTTCTGTGTGATTACTCAGGTCTGAGCAGCCGGGAATGAACGTGCCTTCCTCGTTGACACTCCAGCATTGTTCTCTGTATAGGATTACTATAGCTGTCATACGGATTTTAGTTTTGATTTGTCTAGTTTTGTGAAGAATGCCATTGGAATTTTTATGGGGATCATACTGAATCTACAGATACTATTTAGTGATAGAGATATTTTTAGAATTTTAATTCTGCCAACCAACAAACATGGAGATTTTCCCATTAACTCTTAGGTCTTCATTGTTTTAAAGTTATCATTGCAGAAGTCTTTTTATTTCCTTGGTTAATTTTATTCCAAGTTGTGTTTTTAAAGCTACTGGCAGTAGTTAGTGATTCTCCCACCTCAGGAAGTTTTTCATTTGTTGACTTCGTATGCTGTTATTTTGCTACAAGTATTCATAGGGCCCTAGAGTTTTCTTCTGGCTTTGTTAAGGTCTTTAAAATATTGAATAATGCCATCTACAAATAAGGATAATTTGATTTGTTTGCTATTTGTGTCCCTTTTATTTTTTTCCTCATGACTAAGAATCAAGGACTGAGATTCAAGGAGTGTAAGAGTGGAGAAAATGGACACCTAGTGTAGTTCCTGACTTAGAGGAAATGCCTTTTGTTTCTCTTACTCAGTATAATGCTACTGTGGGCTGCTGTGCAATGCCTTTACTATCCTGCAGTATATTTCTTATATTTCTAGGTTCTCCAGAGTTTTTGCCTTGAGGGATGGTGAACTATGTCAAATCAAATGTAAAAGCTTAAAAAAAGATAAAGCCACGGTACTACTCAAAATTAGGAAAGGAGTGGGCAAAAAGAAAAAGGAAATGAAAAGGCTTGCACAGTGTGATGGTTATAGTTGATAACCAACTTGAGAGGATCTAGAACATCATGATGGTTATAGTTGATAACCAACTTGAGAGGATCTAGAACATCATGATGGTTATAATTGATAACCAACTTGAGAGGTTTTAGAACATCGTGATGTATAGTTGATAACCAACTTGAGAGGTTCTAGAACAGTGTAATGGTTATTGTTGATGACCAACTTGAGAGGATCTAGAACAGTGTGATGGTTATTGTTGATAACCAACTTGAGAGGTTCTAGAACAGTGTAATGGTTATTGCTGATGACCAACTTGAGAGGTTCTAGAACATCATGATGGTTATTGCTGATGACCAACTTGAGAGGATCTAGAGGCATTTAGGGAGCAAACCTCTTGGTGTGTATGTAAGGGAGTTTCTAGTTGGATTAATTGGCTCAAGGAGACCCACCCTGAGTATGGGCAGCAGTATTCTGTGGACTGGATTCCTGGACTAAATAAATAGGAGAAAGTGAACTAAATACTAGCCTTCATAGCTCTCTGCTTTCTGACTGTGGTTGCCAAGGACCAGTCGCTTCACACGCCTGCTGCCATAGCTTCATTGCTGTGACAGACTGTAGTCTCTGTGAGCTCAAATGGCTCTTTCTTCCTTAACTGACTTTTACCATTAATTTTGTCACACAATAAGTAAAGTAACATGTATCAACAAAATGACAAAAATGTGGACGTTTCTTTTTTAAAAATAAAGATAAAGTAGAAACACTACTAAAACTCCAGCAAAAGTAAGAGAAGAAAAAGCAGTAAAGGGGGTGCTGTAGTGGCTTTCTTTGGGGTCCTATAAAGTTTGAGTCTCCTAGGTGGACATAAAAAAGGGATGATCAGGTGAACTTGTGTTGTCTTTTCTGTTCTTTGGTTTATGCTGCTTATGTGTCGGGTGTCTTCCAGGGCTGTCTTCACATTAGTGTCTTCCCTTCCTTGTGTACCAAGAGATTCTGCTAGTCATATTAGCCATGCATTTTTGGCCTAGCCAGGTTCACATCCGAAAGTTTGTACACTCTAGTGTGGCTAGTGCTCTAGACAGGATACCCCCCAAGTGTACTGGTAGTGGAAAAAGTAAACACAGCATTGAGTCGTGTACAGGTGGACCTATCTCTGTCTTTCCTGCTAGAGAGATGGGGCTGTATATGTCAGGTAGTCCCCTGGAGTTGCAGAGTTCTGTTTCTACATAAGTAAACCTCATGACAGATAGGTTGATCTATCCCTGGGTGTTGACCCACTGTTGGCTTCAGACTTGTGTTTATCAGACCTCAAAGTTCTCAAATGAGGAGGTTGGCTCCTCGACACTAAGTAGGGCACTGCATCCCCTTGTGCACATCACTTCCTGACCCAAGCCTCCTTTCACCTGCATCTTAGTGTGTGGCCTTCTGCTTTCTGAAGCTGTCTTCTGGATCTGTCTTCATGTTGGGGCTGTATGGTTGACTTCAGGCTCTCTGATGTCATCATCCCTGTTTTCAGACCCTCAGGGTAGCTCAGTTTTAAACTTCAAAATTGTGTCTAACCATAGACCTTGAGCCAAGAAACAGAGCACACAAGGGAATTCTCCTCCACTGCCGACTTGACCCAGTAGAGGAAGTCATTCAGTCTCATGTAAAACGGCAACTGGCTCTGAGTTTTTTGAGAACTGTGGGCTTGACTGTGGGTGGGATTGTCAGCCTCTTCTCATTAGGACTACAATGCTTGGCTTTAGATGAAATTTCTGCCTCCCCAACTCCACATAGCAGAGCCATGGTACTGGAGCTGTGGGGATGGGGGGTGGGGTGTTGCTGAGTCACATCTCCTTTCAGGAAGTCCTGTTTACCACCTCCTGGTCTCTTAGCAATTTGTTTTAGAATATTTTTAACTGATTTATTTATTTACTTTGTGCATGCGTGTGTGTGTGTGTGTGTGTGTGTGTGTACAAGAACACACACACACACACATATATATATGCATGTGTGGAGTTTGGAATGGGTTCTCTCACCAAACTCAAGTCACCAGGTTGGCCCTCAGACATGTTTATCTTACCAACCAGTAGAGACAGAATCACATGGCTTAATCAATTGTTACCCATGGCTAGCTAGATCTGGAAAGTGTACAAAAGTAAAAGCTACACAAGTTTTACACAAACAGAAGACAACACATTTCAACCTATGAGAGTCAAGTCTCAACCCTTCTGGAATAGCTGTAGAAAGCCCCTCTCCCATTTGTGTGACTTCCTGCAGTCTTCGACTAGAAAACGCTTTTGGCTCTCAACATTTTCTCCCCTCATATTGTACCTAGCACACAAAGGCACTTCGGACTGTCATTTTACCAAGTGTGAAAAATGCACTTTCTTCCCTTGCAGGGAGCGGGATCCACAAAGCGTAACCTTTATGGCTCTTTTCTTTCTTTGGTTTTGCAGATTGAGAAATGGCGTGTAACATACCCAACCAAAGACAGCGGACTATGTCAACAACAGGAAACACTCTGTATGAAGTTCTTGGTCTGCAGAAGGGAGCTTCATGTGAAGAAATTAAGAAATGCTACAGGTATATGGAAGTTCAATGGGGACAGGTCCTGTGCTACCGTTGGTGGTTTCTAGTGACTGGCAAGTGGTACCAAATTAAAGACATGAGCTTCTTGCCAAGGCCCAGTGTCTGAATTTTGGACTCATGTTTCCTGTTGTGTAACATCAACAGCTCATTATAGACAGGCATGGCAGTGATTGTTGAAAGAACACTGTGTGATGGCCAGTCTGAGGGAAGCATAGTCAGACTCTAGCCTGGGGGAGTATGTCATCATGAAGGAGGAAGGGCATCTAGGGTTAAACCCTGTGACATGACATCACTACATCTGGTAGAAAGGCTTGTCACAAATTCTATACTGTCACACACGCTGTTGAGGCCTTTAGTTTTGACATTTTCATAGTTGACTTGTCTCTAATAGCCATTGTGGGGAAAAACTGAAATATCATTTTACTTAAAGTTCTAAGGAACAAAAATACATATGAAGTATAAAATCGCTGATTTTAAGCTATCAAAAATGAAGATAATGTGCACCTATAATTTTACCTTAAAATAATTTTCATGGAGAGTTTGTTTCCTTCATTCCTTCCTGTCTAGATAAGACAGTAAAAGATGAAAATGAACTTGTCTGCAGTTTCCACTCATCTTTCTTCCTCCTAAATCCTGTAATGAAAATGTCTTGGTGTTATTAAATATCCTGTTTTCATGCCTGTTACCTACAGATATTCATTCCCAACTTCTCTAGTCATTTTGCAAGCTATTATTTAGGAGGAAGTTCTTTTAGTTTCCCTCTATGTTTAACATCCTGTATATAAGTCACAATATTTATTTCCTATTGTTTTCTAATTGAGGAATAAATATATTCTAAGACAAAAATAAGAAGCAAAAATGTGATCATTTTAATTAATGTCTTCTTGGTTTTACCTTGGACTGGTTTTTATGGAATTTAAATTTAAACAATTTGAAATAGACAAATTATTAGTAATTTGTTATGTCTTTGTCATACTTGTCTTGGCTAAAAAGCCTCTCTTGAATATTATAAAAATATCAGCTCTAGCCACAAATAACATAAAATATCTTGGGGTGACACTAACCAAGGAAGTTAAAGAACTGTACTAAAAGAACTTTAAGTCTTTGAAGAAAAAAAAATTTCCAGAAAATGGAAAGATTGCCCATGTTCTTGGATAGGTAGGATCAACATAGTAAAAATGGCAATCCTACTAATATCAATCTACAGATTCAATGCAATCCCCATCAAAATCCCAGCACAATATTTCAAAGACCTAGAAAGAACAATACTTGACTTCATATCCTGTACAATAAAGGAACTTCTGGAGGCATCACCATCCCTGACATCAAACTCTATTATAGAGCTACAGTAATGAAAACAGCTTGGTATTGACATAAAAACAATCAGGCTGACCAATGGAATTGAATTGAAGACCCTGATATTGATCCACATAGCTACGAACACCTGATTTTTGACAAGCTGATATTACACAATGGGTTAAAGAAAGCATCTAAGCATCTTTAACAAATGGTGCTGGCATAACTGGAAGTCAACATGTAAAAGAATGCAAATAGATCCATATCTATCCCCATGCAGAAAACTTAAGTCTAGATGGATCAAAGACCTCAACATAAATCCAGGCACGCTGAACCTCACTGAAGAGAAAGAAAGTGGGAAGTAGCCTTGAACGCATGAACACAGGAGACCGCTTCCTAAATATAACCCTAGTAGCACAGACACTGAGAGCAACAATTAATAAACGGGGCCTTCTGAAACTGAGAAGCTCTGTAAAGCAGAGGACACGGTCAATAAGACAAAACGACAGCCTACTGAATGGGAAAAGATCTTGAACTGATCTCCAAAATATATAAAGAACTCAAGAAACTAGACATAAAATTACCAAATAAGCCAATTAAAAAACGGGGCACAAATCTAAACAGAGACTGCTTAACAGAAGAATTGCAAATGGCCAAGAGACACTTAAGCAAATGCTCAACATCCTTAGCTATCAGGGAAATGCAAATCAAAATGACTCTGGGATACCATCTTACAGCTGTCAGAATGGCTAAGCTCAAGAACACCAATGATCTCTGTAATTCTGAGGTCAGCCTGGTCTACAGAGTGAGTTTCAGGACTGGCTTCATAGCTACTGAGAAATCCCATCTCAAAAAATCAAACAAAAACAAAACAAAACAAAAAACCTAAAAAACAAAACCCACCAATGGTAACATATGCAGGAGATGATGTAGAGTAAGGGGAACATTTCTCTTTTGCTGGTGGGAGTGGAAACTTGTACAGCCTCTTTGGAAATCAGTATGGCGGTTTCTCAGAAAATTGGCAATCAGTCTACCTCAGGACCTAACAATACCAATCTTGGGCATATACCTAAAGGATGTACAGTCATAACACAAGGACATTTGCTCAACTGTGTTCATAGCAGCATTGTTTGTAACAGCCAGAACCTGGAAACAACCTAAATGCCCCTCATCTGAAGAATGGATAAAGAAAACGTGGTACATTTACACAATGGAGTACTACTCAGCGTTAAAAAGCAATGACATCTTAAAATTTGCATGCAAATGGATGGGACTAGAAAAAAAAAAACATCCTGAGTGAGGTAACCCAGACCAAGATCTACAGACATGGTATGTACTCACTCATAAGTGGGTATTAGACATAAAGCAAAGGATAACCAGCCTATAGTCCACAACCCCAGAGAAGTTAGGTAACAAGGAGGACCCTAAGAGAAATTTACATGGATCACCCTGGAAAGGGGGAAATGTACAAATGTTATGCCCAAGTGTGTGAAGTCCCCACAAGAGCCTACAAGGAAACTGAGTCCCATATGTAAAAGCAAAGAGCCTTTATTTTAATCAAGTTTGCAAACTCAGTCTCTCCATGTCCAACATATTGGAATAACTGGAGAGTCCCAAGCTCAATTAGAATTGGGTTTTTATAGTAGTAAAGGTGGGGGTGAGGGGTCTCTGAAGTTCAGGACTCCTGATTGGCTGACATTTGTCTAGGGTGTCCTGGTGAGGTGCACTGGCAGGTGATCCTATCTACAGTGTTTGGAATGTTAGGCATTTCCTTTAAATGGTCTGCTCCTGCGTGGTGGTTGGGTAATCTCCCCTTGTGTTTTTTTTTTTTTCTGCTACCAGGTATTGCTTCAGGGTAAACTACTGAAACTCGGGCCTCTTATTAAATTTATCGAGGGCCAAGTTCTACTCTGGTATGATAATGGTTGGAAATAAAGAACTTCCTTTGGGGGATCTGTTCATATTTAGCTCATCATGGCTGGCCCCCACAACAATGCCTGAGAAAGTTAGGAGAGTGGGTAGAAGGGAAGGTAAAAGGGGAAGAGGAAGGGAGAAGGAGAGGGAGGAGAAGAACGTGAGAGGGGGAAGGACAGTGAGGGGGTTAAAGGAAAGAGATATCCTGATTGAGGGAGTCATTATGGGGCTATAGAGAAACAGCTCTAGAGAAATTCCCAGGACTCCACTAAGATGACCCCAGCTAAGACTCTAAGCAATAGTGCAGAGGGTGCCTAAACGGGCACTAAAATTCTTAATGAAAAATTAAAAAAAAATTAAAAATATCAGCTTCTTTCTCCTTTTAGCACATTTACGGCTTTGCTCTGACATTAAATCTTTGATCCTTCAGGCCTTATTTTGGTATGAGGAACGAGGCAGCATTCCAGACTTGGTTTTCCCAAATCTCTAGCCCACCAATATTTATTGACTTCTCCAGTTTCACTACTAATCAGGCCTCCTTTGGCCTTGAGCTTCACCAAGTGGTGCACTATGGGAGCTGATGGGGCCTCAAGAAGCTTACATAAGTGATGGTCCTTCAGATGGCTATTTGGATCCAGTTTTATGAAGATGGAAGATTAAGATCAATGCAGATCTTCTGAAGCATATTTTTCTTGATGTGCTAGGGATAGGGACGTCTTTACTATTTGGTTTGCCACCGGAGTTTCAGACGTGTGCCGTGCAGTGGCACAGCCCACAACCGATGAATGGCATTATTGGAACGTCACCAAATCTCTGGTTTGTGAGATGCTGGGGTTGGAAATCAGAGCAATTAATTGCCTTTTAGGTTTAATAACCACACAAACGAGGAGTTCAGAAGCTACATCAAACTTCCTTTCCATTCTTAAAGCTCAATTTACAAATGCGACTTTTAATTGCCTTTATTAATTTTGGAAGCTGAGATTTCAGGTCCTATCTTCATTAAGGCATTAATTATGCCGAGATGCTTGCAAGCTTAGCAATCACAGCATAAAGCCTTTTCATGTAATCAGTGTCTTGCCATTAATTTGGTTTTAATGTCAAACAAATATTATTTTTCAGCTGATTAGGGCACTAGCATGCTGCCGGGAGCGTCTACTTCTATCTAAATTAGACATTTGTATTCTGCAAGCTATTCAAAATGTAGGAGCAGGCTGCAAATCCACTGAGAGTATTATTTTTATATTCAGAGATGTGGGTTGAAGCGGTGACAACACAGGGAAATTAAAGGCCAGTGAAATGTAATAAAATTACCAACTGTTGATCCATATGCTGCTTGACCTCCAGTATAATCTTTGGTTGTCCTCTTGAGAACAAAATAAGCTAGGGAGTTTCTTCTTTTACCTTTATTCTTATTTTTGAATAGATATTAATATATCCACTGAGTTAAAATAAAAGCATACACGTTCCAGGTTATCTCCTCGGGGGAAACAATATGATTAATTCCTTGCACACCTTTCTAAGGAGACATCATGACCATGTGAGCACATGGAGCTTCCAGACAGGGCAAGATGGAGCAGGGTTACTTCTTCCTTCCCTTCCTGATACTCTTGGCGGTGATTCTTAAGACTAATACAAGAGACAACTAAAGAGAACCCTGACAGCTAGAAGGGGTGAACTGGCTGCTGACCTCAGGAACAAGGGAATTAGCACAGCCACAGAGCATCCTATGACTCTTCCACTCCTTGCCCACCAGAAAATAACCTAGACAGGGTGTTTTCTGAGTT